GCACTTACACCAGTGATCTGGGACACAAGTCATGGGCTTGGGTTTTTCTCTAGGAGTCGAGAGTAGGTGACTTTGAAAGATGTGTCTCCTGCTCAGAGCCTCTCTCTGAGCCCCGCATCGGCATGTCTAAGGGCTTGCGTGGTGTTTCCACCAGAACACAGTCCAGATTTCTAAACCGGGAATGCCCCAAACCAAACTCATACTCCTCAGTCTCTCTGCACTCCGGTGGCGGACTCTACCATCAATGTGCTGATACACCCAGAGTCCACAAGTTGCCCCGGATGCCGTTTCTACTCGTGGTGCACCGCCATGGTCCACCTGTGCCATCTTTCCCATTCCGATGCCGTTCGGCCTGCAGTCTGTCTGGGTCTCCCTGTGCCCCACCCCCAAGGCCAGCCCTGATGTCAGCAAGCCCTCTACAGTGCTTCACTGCTCACAGTCTGACCGCCAAGGTCCTTTGAGTTCAGGCCCCTGATGTTGCCGGAGTCCCATTCCATTCCCCGTCACACCTTCCCACTCTGTTCATGCCTCGTGAGTCCAGCAGAACGTGGACTCTGGGTGCCAGGGAGAGGCTGCCTGTCTTTGGGATTTCTCCAGAGCAGGCCCCACTGAGGCCCCAGAGAAACACCCGATCCTGTGGACAGCTTCCTTGCCGCTCTCTCCAGCTCATGTGCCCCTCTCCGCTAGTAGGGACTCTGACCTACAGTATGTCATTCCCAAGCCTAGTGGAGTGTGTATCAAATACTGCATCCTCAGGAATGCTTATCCAAAGAATGTGGGACAGAAAGTTCCAGGTTGCAGTCTCTTTTCTTTGCAGGAAAAAGCCAACTGTTCTAGAAGGAACACACAGGGTGTGTGGGTGTTCTGGCCAGTAGATGGCGATAGCGGTCACCAGGTGTGAGCAAGCGCCCTCCCCCAACTCAGGTAGGCAGGCTTACTTGTGTGCCCTCACTGAGGTACCCCCCCCCCCGCAACTGTGGAGAGCTGTTATCTTCGCTTCTTGAATTCTCTGGAGAGGCTCAGTGTACAGCTCCAATTTCCTCTTCCTATTCAAGGCCCCTCTGCCAAACATGCATTCTGCATAGGTGGCCTGGGAATTACTGCTCTTGTCTAGGAAAAGCCCTCCTTGGGGAGATCTGGAGATCCTTTCTTTGAGTCCAGCTGGAACTGGGGCTGTGACAGGAGGATACTAAAACTGGCTTACGGTGTTGGACGGTCCTCTCCCTCCCCAGGAGGTGGGTGGCTGTCAACACCCACGGATCAAGGCTTGAAGCCTGGTTTGGGCCCTGGCTCCGGAGATGGGAGCAAGTCCTTTGCCTTTGCCAGAGCTTCAGCTTTCTCGGCTGTGAAGCCTGAGGCTTCTGGCCCTGGAGGCTGGGGCTCTGATGGCTGGGTGACTGGGATGGGTGGGGAAAGGGGCGACATGGAGGAGGAAAGGGTGTCTGTCAGCTCTGATGATGGTCATGGTGGCATCTCCAGGAGCTGGGGCTCTTTGCAAGGAGCTGATTTCTTCCTCTCTGCAAGGGAAGGCTGTTATTTTGTCTGGACAGAGGTGGAGTGGGGAGGGGGCTCAGTCAAGGTGAAGAGCTATCATACACCCACACCTCCTTTATCCCGCTCCCCCTGCTCAGGGGAAGCCTGGGGTGTGCAGCAACCTCAAGCTACTTTGCAGGGAACCAGCTGTGGTGTGCCCCTGGGGTAAAGTGGGGAGGGGGTGCGCCTGCCAGCTTGGGTGACACAGGAAGGAGGAGGACACCTGAGCAGCAACAGGGGGAATGCAGAGTGGGTTTCAGAGCATCCCTCCCGAGTGTGATCCCCAACCCCAGTCCATCCTGGAGCTCTGGCAATAGGCATGGGGCATGCTGCTTGGATGCAAGCAGCCCGGCCAGTTTCCTGTCTGTGTGGGAGGGGCTTAGAGCTGCCGTCTCATTGGACCTGAAGGGAGACACTTTGCTCATAGCATGTGGACTTATTTGGGAGTGACCTGGGTCACGAGGGACAAAAGAACCCCCAGCCCCTCCCCTGGCCACTCCTGAGTCAGCCAAGGCATGTGGCCATGGCTGGAAGCTGGGTTGGTTTGAGCTGGCACCTGGGGACAACTCAGGGTGAATGTAGAGAATTGATGGCAGCCTTGAAAGGGTGAAGCCAGGTGGAGAGGGGACGAGCTGGTACCAGCTGCGGTCCATTTTCCCCAGGATGTCTAGGACAGACGTCCGGTGCTCAAGAACCAGTAAGTGAGGCGTGACGGCAGGTGAGAACTCAGTGTCCTACGGGGAAGCTAGAGTAGAGGGGTGAGCACCTATACAGCGTGCCTGAGTCTCTTCCACCCTCTTGATCCTTAGGATAATAGCCCTGTTTTATAGTTAAACCCCAGGGTCACAGGTGAGGAAGATCCTTTGAATGGTTGCTGTGTCAAGTCACAGGTACCTGTGGCAGCCCTGGCATTTGAGGATACTCGGCCTCATGGCTGTGCTTAGCTGAGGGTTTTCTGTGTGCATGGAGGCTAGACCCAAGGAAGGCCTCTCGTGGAGGTTACCCTCAGAGTGTAGAAGACCGAAACAGAGTGGGGGGAGGGGCGGGCAGCTGAGGCGAGCGGGTCTGGGGGTGGGGCTGACATGGTGACCTGGCGAGGGGGGAGGGGACAGTGCCCAGCAGAGAGAGAGCAGCTTGTGCAAAGCTCCTGGAACCAGGCAGAGCATGGCCCTTTCGGGTCCTGCAGGGCAGTGTAGACAGCTGAAGGCAGAGATGTAGCCAGGGCAGAACCAGGTGAAACTGGAGAGCGGGAGGGGCAGCACCTTGAGACTCTGGGGCAGGGAAAACTTGCAAGAAGACAAAGAAGGGGGCAGTTTGATGGGAGGAGCCCCTGGGGAGGAGGGGGAAGGTGTAGGTAGGTACTCAACCCATGCGTTCTAGGGAAAGATCAGCGGCTGGAATCACAAGACTCAGCCTTGGGCCACCCTGACTCCTTGGTTGAGTCACCCACATTTTAAGGGACATCTCTCCTTCATTTAACAAAGAACTATCCCTGCCTTGCCCTAAAGCCACCTGCATGGACTAAGAGCTCAAGGCTGTAACCCTGCCATGGAAGGGAGCCAGCTGTAGATACCTTTCTCAGAGGACAAGCCCAGCCCCCTGCCTCTGTAGATGTCACCTGATCTTTTCACATACCAACAGATTTCTACTGTCCCTCCACCCTAGGAGGGGACAGGCGCTTGGAAGGCGCTTGTAAACTAAACAGGTATTTCTAGAAAGTGTGGACATAGCCTTACGGATGGACTTCATCTCTGATTTAGACCCAATTGCAGGCAGCAGTTGTGAGTAGGCTCAAGACATTTTCCAACCCATGCAGTAGTGTCATTTCATCCATCCTGAGTATCACCCCATTCATCCATTCCCATCATGCAGGCACGGGCCCTCCTAAGGCTGTTGGTCACTCTGAGCTAAAGAAAGCCCTGGCTTCTAGTACTCTGTATACTCTGACCTTGAGCTCCTGACCCTCAGGCCATCCTTTCTTTCTGGAAAATGGCCACCTGGGAGCACCCTTCCCAGCACCCATGTGCAGGCCCTGCCAGGTGTCCAGACACGTGCTCCTGCCCAGGCATGCTAAGAATCCCCGAATTTGCTTTCCTGTAGCCCTTCTGCAGCGGCCATTCTAAAAGGAGGTGCTAGACCCACAAAGAGCACTGCGGGTGCTGGGCTGGGCGGGTGCTGGGCTGGGCAGGTGCTGGGCTGAGCAGGTGCTGGGCTGGGCGGGTGCTGGGCTGGGCGGGTGCTGGGCTGGGCAGGTGCTGGGCTGGGCAGAGCAGGTGCTGGGCTGGGCGGGTGCTGGGCTGGGCAGGTGCTGGGCTGGGCAGGTGCTGGGCTGGGCGGGTGCTGGGCTGAGCAGGTGCTGGGCTGGGCGGGTGCTGGGCTGGGCAGGTGCTGGGCTGGGCGGGTGCTGGGCTGGGCGGGTGCTGGGCTGGGCGGGTGCTGGGCTGGGCGGGTGCTGGGCTGGGCGGGTGCTGGGCTGGGCGGGTGCTGGGCTGGGCGGGTGCTGGGCTGGGCGGGTGCTGGGCAGGTGCTGAGCTGGGCAGGTGCTGGGCTGGGTGGGTGCTGGCCTGGGCATGATGGCATACTGTTCTGGGGTTAGGGACAGGGAGAGGAAGGGGTTGGTGGGAGACTAGGAATTTCCTCTCTCTCCCAGATATGCCCCTGGGAAGCCCTGGAAAGCCCAAGCCAGTTCTCCCTACACGTCTGGTCTGATCACTTGCTGTGGCAGGTCCTGAACTCGATTCCTCTTTCTGAGTGTACTGAACGGGAGGGGGAGGAGGAAGGTGCTGCCGCAGAGGGTGGAGCGAGCTGGACCGATTTGAGCAAGGGTGAGATGGTCTCGGTCAGCCTGACAGGCCGGGAGACTGGGGCTGCTAGGAGACTGAGGTCTTAGCAGGATTGTTGGGGGGTGAATGCAAGGCACAAGGGTGAGACCAAGACACCGGGGAGGGGGCACCTTGGTTCCAAGTCTCCCTGCCACTTCCTACTTAGTGTCCCCACTCAGGGTTTGTGGAAGCCCTATCTTTCCCGAGAAGAAGAAAGCAAGGTTTGGGGCAAGCAGGGAGGGCTCCAGGATATAACCCTTTTGAGGACAGCTTCCTTCTTTTGAGTTCCCCCTCCCCTAGTTACCCATGGAAAGCCCGCCCCCCGTACCCTGTCCTGACTCCACCCTCCAGAGACCTGGTGCAGAGACCCCTGAACAACACCCCCTCTTTCCCTCCCTTCGGTGTGTGCCTTTTGTTCCCCCTCCCTTCTCTTTTCTCCCTCGACTCCAGAAAACCTTCACCAGTATCCCTGAAGCACGTCACTCCTCTCCCCTCTCCCCTGCAGTTCCGACAGGCGGAGGTCCCCCTCTCTCGCTCCCCTCCCCCAGCCACTCTTGAGCACCGAGAGGATTGGAAAAGCTTGCGGTGGTGGGGCGGGTGGGGAGTGTCGTAGGAAGTCACTGCGCGAGCAGCGGGGATTCTCCGCAGAGCCGGGGGGAGCCCCATGCGGTTCCAGTCTCTGAGCCGCCCAGCCTGCAACTTCTGAATGGCCGCATGCGGTTAAACCCCTCTGCTCTGTGATTTCAGGCAGCATCTTTCTGGGGTGGCCCCTTCTCTGTCGCCCTCTGCGGGCTGTCCCGGCTGAAGAAGGGGGCGTGGGGGTGCCGGTCCAGGTCCCTGCTCCCCGGCATCCGGATCAGGATCGGGAATCGCCTCTGAGGGGCTGCAAGCGCGTGTGCAGGCGGATGTGAGGCGCATCTCAATTGGCGGGCGGGGGAAGCGGATCAGGTTGTTACTACTGCAGAGCGCGCGAGCGAGGGAGCGGGAGAGCCGCAACGCCGGCCAGCGCGGGAGTGGGAAGAGGGGACCTGGACTTCCGAGCGGCAGGCTCCCTCTGCCTTCTCCACCAGCCCACACCGATCGGCTCCTGGAACGTCCCTGGGTAAGAGGGAGCCCAAGCAGGGCACCCTGCAAGGCCATCTCATGCACTGCAGTCCCAAACGAGGCCACACCCAGGACACCCGCAGCTTCCTAGGGCCTGGTGCTGGACCCCAGATGCTGGGTCACCAAGTGAGACCATGACTTTCTGGGTTTGGCACTTGGCTGAGGTATAAACTAAGTGCAGGACCAGCTCCTGATGAGATCGGGCTCTGAAAATCCACTTGTTTGTCCCGGGGGAGATGTCCTGAATATCTTAGGAACCTCTCCACCTCGACCTGTTCTAGTGCGATGCCTAGGACAGCGCATCTGTGCTGGGACAAGGAGCTAGCTAGGAAGCGAGGCTCGCTCACAGCTTAGAAGGCATGCCCTGGAGGGCGGATGGAGTGGGCGTGCAATGAGAAGCATGTGCAGGGCGTGGGGGACCCTGCTCGCCCCCGCTGCAAGGAGGATGAGTTTGAGAATACCACGTGCGTGCACGGTGCTTTGGAGCCCCCTGGCGCAGAGTGGAGCGCAGTGGGGGTGCTGGCACTCTGCAGGACAGGACGCAGGATTCACTGTCCTTTACAGCCCTTATCAGCCTGGTCCGTCCAGACCAGAATCTGTCATGTTTTCTGCCTCGTTCTCTCCCCAGAACTTTTTCATCCTCCAACCAGTGCCGCGGCTTTGTGCATTGGAGGAATCAGGGTTCTCAAGGGCCCTTGCAAGCAGCCATAGACCTAGGAGAGACCCAGGAGAAGGGGAGAGTGGGCAGTAGTGTTCTACTGGACTTGTTGTGTGACCTTGGATGAATGGTGTACCTCTGGGAGTCTCAGCTGGGTGTAGGGGACTGGTGCATCACACAGGAATGGGAATGGTGTGTGGGGGTAATGAGGAGGAAGGCGTTCGGATGAACGAGCTCATGAGTACACCCGCCGAGCCTTTGATTCTTGGTCTCTGCAGAGAGCCCTGTGCATACTTGGGAGGGAGGGGATGGCGGTGTTGAAATGCTGAACCCAGAACCCCAGGGGGAGCCAGAAGGCTTCTTTTCTTATCTGTTTGCTGACCTTGAGTAACTCATTCACCTCTCTGGGTCCGAAGTCACTTGCTCTAGAAATGGGGGTTTGAACCTGAGGCATTTGAGGATCTGGGGTCTCCCCAAGCCTGACACCCTGTGTCCCAACTGAAGGGGAAGAGGAAGCAGGGTTCAGAATGCTAGCTTCTGGGTAAATTTCTCTTTAACCTTACCAGTGGACAGAGGCTTATCCTTTTATCTCTGTTCCTCACAGAGTCTCTGACCTGGGAGGAAGGCAAGTCAGTGTCAGCCCAGAACTGCTTACCCTCTGCACAGGTATAGCCTTCCCAGGAGATAGGGTCCCTGGGGTAGGTAGGAACATCAGAGGCCTCCTCTCAAGGTCATGCTATCTGTTCTTGTGTCCAGTTACCTCAAGAATCCTCTCTGCTTAGAAAGACCTCCGTTGTGAGCTGTACCAGCCCATTGTTCAGCCTGGATTGCCTGCATAACATCTCATTGAGGTCATCTGTTGGGACTTCCGCTGAAATGAATCCCTGGTCTGGTACTGGGTCTCAGGTGCTTTAGGAAGACTTCTGGATGAAAACAAGAGTTAGGTTGAGTTTATAGGCTCTGTTTCTCACTTGTATGATCATATATGACCTTGGGTAAGCCTGTTTGTGAAGACAGTCAAGTCAGAGAATGCCCTAGAACCCATCCATCTTCAAAGACTTGCGGCTGGAGGTCAGGGTTGGCGCTTAAGTACTAGAAGGGTGTCCGATGGGAGCAGGTGGCCTCTGGAACTCCCAGTACATGACTCCACCCTGCTTCCATCCCCAGAGACGCCTTGAGACATGCTCTGAGAAGTAGGACCCCTCTCCCAGGTTCCACGCAGCCCTGGAGTAAGCTCTGGAGCCCCCATGTTGCTGGTTACTACTCAGTGACCTTGAGTGAGTGTCTTTCTGTCTTTGTGCTTCAGTGACTTCATTGTCAAAACATGTGATAAAGGTGGCCGTATTCTAGTGTTCCTATGAAGATTAAAGAAGAAACATGTGAGGTGCTTCATACAGTGTGGATTGATCCCAGAAGAGTCACGGCCGTAATTCATCGTATCAGTCAAAGCCCTGGGAAAACAGGCAGTGGAGCAGCTGGGAGTAGTGGCCGTGGAGAGCAGGGAGAGGGCTAAGGGGACTTGCAGCATGGTCAACCCCAAGGAGCCCAAAGCTCCCCCGGGTGTGGGAGCAGCTACTGTCTCTGTCCCTGTCCCTCCAGCACCAGGCACTGTGCAGTAGGGGAGGAGACACTGACTGACTTTTTTACACTCTCACACCTAATTCACCTCAGTTCTGCCTTCCTCACCCCATGCCACTTCTGGTCTCTTCCGTGCTGATCACACAGTGGCCTTTTGCCTCACTTCCTGAACCATCCTGGAACGAGCCAACTGATGCCTGGAGAGGGACACGGCTGGATGTCTCTGGAGTATGTGGCCAGTAGCAGAGCAAAGAGACCAGCTGGGCCTCAGGAGGACTCCCCAGACCCCGGACCACAGCAGACCTTGTGTGCAGGCGTGATGTGGAGAGGAGAGCAGGGACAGGGGTTACCCCAGACCCGCTGTGTGAGCTCCTGTGAGGTAACACCCTCTCTGGGTCTCAGCTTCCTCTGTGACGTGGAGGGCCAGCTGGAAGAATCTGTGCTGGCCCTGTTGGCTCTTGGGAGGTTTGTTGGGGTCATTTAGGCATCTAATGTTCACTGTCCCTTGGTGTCCATCCTGTGACTCAGCCTAGGGAGAGGTGATGACAATGCCCATTGAGTCCTGATGGTTAAGATCAGAGGTTCCTTAGTAACTGTGTGGATTTAGGCCGGTTCTTTTATGTCTCTGAGTCTCATTTGTCTCATCTGTGAAATGGGCATCATGTTCCTTGCCTTCTAGGGTTCTTAATACCACATGGGGATAATTTATGTAAAATTGTTGGAATCTGAGGTGTTCCTGCTGTGATCATAGGTGCTGTCTGGGGTTATCTGTCACACAGAGGGAGGTCAGAGTTCACTGTCTTGTAGCTGCCAGCATAACACAGGCATCCAAGAGAGTGCTGTTTCCTGTGTCGTTCGCCTGCCCGCATCCTGGAGTGTGCATGTCCTGGGCACAGGACATATGTTAGGGAGGCTCAGCCGTGGGATGGCGGACTGTCAGTGGGGACACAGGTACAGTGCCCGCCTGTTCAAGGTCCGAATGAGGAAAGGCTGAGGAATGGGGTCTTGGAGGAAATGCAGATGGAGCCAGCACATTGCTTCTGCTGCATGCTGGGGTTAGTGGGTAGGGGGCCTCAGAATTAGGCATCCAGATGGGTCTCGGGCCATCTCCACTCACTCCTTTAGTTCCCATTGCAGAGACTGAGATGCAGAGGCATCTGCCCAGTGTTGCAGAGAGTTAGAACCAGCAGAGGAGCTGAGTCAGCACTTTGGGGCCGTCCGTATATCTCTCCATCTTCCTCATTAAGTAGGAGACAGTTATTTTCCATTTCTCTAGCATCAGAGCACGAGCTACAGTGCTTTGATGGCAGGAAGAACATGGGTCCGGAAGAGCCTGCTCATTGCTGATGACAGTGTTGAGTTTTCACACAGTTCCCCAGTGTCAGGCCAGAGCTCCACAGTCACCACACCAGGCACCCCATCCCTCCTCTCAACCCAGACATGCCACGGGCTTGGGAATGGAGACAAAATGAAGGCCAAAGGACAGCGGCCTGACTCTAAGAGCAGCCCTGCTTCTTGACCCGTCTGGGATGGCTGCAGCTCTGGCTGCCAGGCTGCTCTGCCTCCCAGAGGAAGAAAACAGCAGCCAGTGCTTCGCTCTTAGTTTCCCTGGCCAGCAGAGTGAAAGAAAGTCAATATTTGCCCAGCGGCAAAGGGCAGCAGGACTTGGGGGGGAGTGGGAGGGAGGGAGGGTAGAGTTGGGGATCGAGTGCTTGCTTCCTTTGGGCTCCCCATATGAATAACCCTTTGTGTGTTGAGTTCATCCTGAGCTGTCTGGTCTGGCCCAGGTGCCACGTGTCCTCCGGGCAACCCTCTCCCCCTACCTAACACATTCTCTTCATCATAAGCTGATGCCTCCCCAGCTTCCGCCCCCTAGAGAGATGGGATTTGAGGCCTTTGCAGAAGGCCTGGCAGCAGATGGCCCATGGAGCTTGCCTGCCGGAGACACTGCAAAGGCACAGAAAGGCAGGCTTCCTTATCTTGGCCCCCAAGCGCAGGGACAGATGCGCCGTGTCCTTGGCAGGTCAGGAGAGGGGAATGTCCTCTTTTTTTTTGCCTTTGTCATGCCATCTTGCATTGTTTCATCTAAAAGTCCCGCCCCATTTTCTCTGTCCTGGAGTTGCAGAGGGGCTGGAGGAGGACAGGGTCGTGTCACCTCCCAGCTGTTTGAATGGCTTCTTTTGATTCGCATTGGCCCGTGGAATCTTGCCGTAGCAACTTAACAAAGGGTGCGTTTGGAGGCAGATGTGGTTTTTAATGTGCAGGCTGGGCTGTGTGAGGTCTAGGGATAGGCTTTGACTGTGGGAATCACCCGTGGTTAGTGAATCTGCCACATGGGCACCCGTGGGAGGTGGTCTACTGAGCTGACTCCCTTTCTTAGGTCAGCCAGCATTGTCCCCTGACCCAAGAATAGCACTGGTGTCAGCAGCAGGCAGGTCTCAAAGTTGCCACTTGCAGTGTGGTGGATGAGGCTGCCAGCTCCAAGCGTGCCTTCAGCTTGGACTTGAGGGTAGCCACCTCACAGATTGCAGCCTGGCCCCTGCCAACCCTCCAGCATGAGGCTTATAGCACTAGCACACTTCCTTCCTGGCTCCCCTGACTCCTGGAACCCGCGTGACTGGACCTAGTGGCCGTCTGGTGCTAGCGCTAGGTGTTCGGGTGGATGGCCTGTGTTGGGTGGCTTTGACTAAATTATTTCGATATCCCAGTTGCCTTATGTGTGAAAGTGGAAATAAAGTAGTTTGAAACCCATAGGGTTGATG